AAGACAAGCTGACTCATGTTGGCTTGACTCACTATTGGTAGCCTTGAGTACAGCTCTGAATATCCAAGTGTGGTTGGCTTTGCTGACCTAGCTAGGACGTTTCCCATCCTTCTCTAGCCTTTCTCCCCTAGGACTCAACCTTCTCTGAGTTCCCAGGATGACCCAACCCCTTATGAGTCCCCTGTTGGATGCAAATTCACATTGCACGACATCCTGCCGTCTGTTTGTACGAGTATGCGTGTGCGAATGTATTTGGGTGTGAATGGAATGTTCGTGTGTTTGTTTGCTTTCGCAATTTTCGCTTGAAGCATTTGCAGGTACTCGCACAATGTGCGCTTCGGCACAACATTGTACGCGCTATGAACAGTACAAGCAGAAAGGACGAGCTCGCAAAGGAACCCAAGATGGAAGCTTTGCGGTTCGGCTTACTTGATTGCGCAGATTCAGTTCTATCCAACTCGAAATTGTACTGTTTTGTTTGGTTGACTATAGTGTAGCAGGGCAGGCACTATAGGGGTACAATTTAGGTGAAGGTTGGATGTTGTTTGTCTGTATCTGCATGCTACAGGGCCACGGGAAACCAGCTGTATCATGCCCTCAACAAACTTCACATCCCTGCTGTCAAACAACACACCCTTGGAAGGTTCCCACAGCAGCCATCCCTTGCTGTCAGGAGCCAGCCCCAAATGCACACACCAGATTGCACTCGCCCCCAACTTACTGCGGTAGGTCTTGGAGACGTGGACGACTGCCATGCAACCGAACACCCTCAGCATGTCCACCGGCGGCTTCCTCCCAAGCCACCTCTCCAACGGCACCCAGGAGTCATCCCCAACCTTGGTGGGTACCCTGTCCCTAGCGTTGGTAGCGTGCCGAACAGCCTGGGGCTACATCAAGTTGCCCAGCCCAGATTCTATGAGCAGCACCCTAGCTGTCTCCAAAATCGTCCTGTTGGCCCGTTCTGCTACACCGTTGGACTGTGGGGTGTAAGCCGTGGTCAGCTCCCTCTGGATGCCCTGTCTTTTGAGCCACGCCGTCATCTCAGCTCCAAGGAGCTCACCACCCCGATCTGTCCTAATCCGCTTCACAACACTCTCCGCTTGCTTCTCCACGAATGGCAGCCAATCTTACCTATTGTAGAGGCGGCATGGTCCTTCTGCTTTAGTGGATATGCCCACATAAGCCTGCTCCAATCATCCACTATGGTCAGAAAGTATCACTCCCCCTTGTGACCCTGAACCGGCAGCGGCCCCACCAAATCCATGTGGACCAGCTCCAACGGCTTCTTGCTCCTGCCAGCCACACTATGGAAGGGGAAACGGGTAAACTTTGAGAGCAGGCAGATTTCACAATTCTCATCAGGTGACTGTCCGTTCAGCTTCAGACCTTTAACGGCTCCATCTTTCTCCAACTGCTTCAACAAGGGCATTGCCACATGCCCCAAGCGTCGGTGTGCCGTTGCCCAATCCGTCTCCCAAGATCTGGCCGACACTTTCACACCAACCCCTCCAACGGCGTTGCACTCCCCCTGGGATGCAGACCCCTCTCCAGCCTGCCCCCCACCGTGCCACGCCAATGCCGGCAGCTGCCACTGGGATCTGTACACGTCCTTGCTCTCGTGCAGATCCCAAAGCACTCGATTGCCCAGCTGCCCCTTGTAAGTGCGTGCCTCATCCGTGCTAGTGCTCACCCCAGCCTTGCCAAGATTACGGAGGGAGATGAGGTTGGCCTTGAGTTCAGTAAGGAGAAGAAAGTCGTGCAGCACCACCGGCTTGCCGTCCGCTCCCTTCAACGCAGCTTGTCCTGCACCAGCCACCTTCAGCGCGTGTCCAGAGGCGGAGCACACCTCGTTGATCGGTGCAGCGCGTATGTGGTCCAGCAGGTCCTTGCGTGGCGTCATCGTCCAAGCAGAGCTCGTGATCAACACCCAATAGTCCAGAGGGTGCAGCTCTGCTCCAACCTTGGCAGATGCGACTCCTTGCTCCCCCTGCTCTCCAATATGGAATAACTGGCCCGCGGTGCGCTCCTTCTTCTTTCCGCACCGCCGTTGTTGTCGGACGAATCGGCGACCATGCTCGCGCCGTTTTTCTGGTTCCTCCGCCCGCCGCCATCCTGGTGACAATTCTGGAGGGTCCATCCATCGGGTTTCTTTATAAACCAGGGGTGCCCCTCCTTCTCACAATACCAGCAACTCCCTTTCATTTTGCCACCAGCACCCGACTTGCCCCCACGTCCAGACTTCGCACCGCGACCCCAACCGGTACCTCCTTGTTGGTCGTTGGAGTCGTCGTCCTTCTTTGCACCGCGTCCAGCACCACCGAAGCCCAGTCCTCTGCCACGTCGGCTCCCTTGCATCCCGTAGCCGCTGCTGCCATCGTCTCCACCCCTCAGTTGGCGGCGACGGAAGTCCTCCTCTAGAATCTTTGTCCGCACCCGCTCGAGTGTCCATCAGCTCTGGTTCCGCGGCAGGCTCAATCCGCTCGTGAATTGAAGCCACGATTCCGGCAGCAGCGAGAGCATCTTCAAACACTTGGTCTGCTCGGGGTAGGTGATTCCCGCGGTCGCCAGCTTCCCGTACAGGTCGCGCATCTTGTCCAGGACACGTTGCACCGGCTCTCCCTCGCTCAGGCGCAACGCGGACAGCTCCCCTCAGCATCAACGTTGCAACAACAGAGGTCGGGGCGTGCAGCTCCTTTAATACGGTCCACGCCTTCGGACCGCACTCAACCTCCGGCAGCAGGTGCATGACGTGGTCACGCTGGTTCAGCTCCAAACTCTGCGACATTAAATAGTAGCCAGCCGAGGAGCGCTTTTCCCAATCTTCCTGCAGCGTGGGGTCACTCGGTCTAGGCTCCTCCCCAATCATTAGTTTCAGCAATCCAATCTGATGGAAATATAGTTGCATTTTCCAGGCCCAATCATCATAGCCCTCACAATTGAACTTCTCGACGGTGAAGTTCTTCAGCACCTTCTTGACCAGCGAGCCCTGGTTTGTTCGCGCTCCCTTTGGCGCTGAAACACCAGAATTATGGCTGCCGCTACGATCTTGGGCTGAAGATTCACCAGCTCCCGTCGAGCTGTTGCCCGCCATAGCTACTTATATCGAGGATCACTATAACGCAGCTCTGAGCTTGTTGGTGTAAGGGCCTTATAAACTCAAGCTATTAAGTCTTTAACAAACTTAAAACCTCTCCTCGGGGTCACCTCCAAGGGTCCTTGGGTGCCTGGTACAAGACCAGCCCCTATCCTCGGGTCCGAGTTTGTAGAGAGAGGGATCAAGAGGGTTTTAGTCAAAACAGCAAGAGTACCTTGAACGTCGCGCAGTGTATCGTGCAGACCGTCGATCGGATTAAGCTGAGAATTTCATATATCGAATCTCGCTTCAAGAGCTTTGAAATGAACCAAGTTGCCTCGCGAAAAGTTTTGCCATTACGAAGTTATGGCTCGGACAGTGTTTGCCTAGCGTTGGAGTACTAGCTTAAAACCTCTCGTCGGGGTCACCTCCAAGGGTCCTTGGGTGCCTGGTATAAGACCAGCCCCTATCCTCGGGTCCGAGTTTGTACAGAGAGAGATCAAGAGAGACCTAGTCAAAACAGCAAGAGTACCTTGAACGTCGCGCAGCGTATCGTGCTGACCGTCGATCGGATTAAGCTGAGAATTTCCTATATCGAAACTCGCTTCAAGAGCTTTGAAATGAACCAAGTTGCCTCGCGAAAAGTTTTGCCATTACGAAGTTTTGGCTCGGACAGTGTTAGCCTAGCGTTGGAGTGCTAGCGTACTGGCAATGATTCGGGTAGCATTGCGCCGTCGCACCGCGTAGAAACGAAATTCCAGAAGGGAGGAATTCGCTTGAATCAAATTGATTATATCCAGGTACAAACAGAGATGGAAAAATCGTTCTAGCTAGTAAGGACCTTGGGAATAAACGTGGTAACAACCAGGGATGATCACAAATGATTCCAAGCAATAGAATCAACCTGGCTAGACAAAACACCAGGTGGTAGGTTGGTAAACAACCTCTGGTTCTGTTTTTCCAACCTGGGAAAACAACAACCAGGTTCAGGTCCTAAAAACAGAACCTGTTTTGTCTTTGCCCAACCAGCCAAATGCTGGTTCCGCTGGTTTCCCCTGGCCCTGTAGCAAGCAGATACAGACAAACAATATCCAACCTTCACCTAAATTGTACCCCTATAGTGCATGCTTTGCTACTCTATACTCAACCGAACAAAACAGTACAATTTCAAGTTGGATAGGACTGAATCTGCACAATCAATTCAAGCGAACCGCAAAGCTTCCATCTTGGGTTCCTTTGCAAGCCCGTCCTTTCTGCTTGTACTGTTCATAGCGCATACAATGTTGTGCCGAAGCGCACAATGCGTGAGTACCTGCAAATGCTTGAAACACACGAACATTCCGTTCATACCCAAATGCATTCGCACACGCATACTCGTACAAACAGACGGCAGGATGTCGTGCAATGTGAATTTGCACCCGACACACCGAACTGCGCTACCCCACGAGTCGCGCCGCCTTAATAGTGCCGCGCCACCCTGCCCTGCCCTGTGTTGCGCTGCTGCGCACGCCCTGCCCTGCCCTGCCCGCTAGCTGCTCGCAGCTGCGCGCCTTGCCCTGCCCGCGCGCTGATCGCCGCCGCGCGCGCTGCCCTACCCGCGCGCCGCTCGCCACCGAGCGCCCTGCCCTGCCTGCGCGCCACTCACCGCCTCGCGCCCTGCTCTGCCAGCGCGCCACTTGCCGCTGCGTGCCCTTCCTTGCCCGCGAGCCGCCTGCCGCTGAGCGCCCTGCCCTGCCCGCGCGTCTCCCGCCGCCGCGTGCCCTGCCCTGCCAGTGCACCGCCAGCAGACACGCGCCCTGCCCTGCCCATGCGCCGCTAGCAGCTGCGCTGCCCTGCCTGTCAGCCGCCCTGCTGGCTGCCGCCCTACCCTGCCCTGCCCTGCTTGCGTGCTGCCCTGCTGATATTGCGCTCGCTTTCTCTGCCGGCTATGGCGACTCTCAGCGTCCTCACCTTCGATCCGGAGGGCCGTCCGATAGAGTTCGAGTCTTGGCTCGATGACTTGCAGCTGTTCTTACTGAGCGACTCTAAGGACGGTATTTTACTGTTTGACCTCACATCTGGAGCCTCTCCTGCCCCTCCCGACACAGCTGGCAGTACGACTCACTCACAGTGGCTTACCCGTGACGCCACTGCTCGCCTAGCCGTTGGCAATCACCTGCCGTTAGCCGAACGCGCTCCCTTTGGCCAGCACAAGACTGCTAAAGCCTTGTATGACGCTGTAGTCGCTGGTTACTCCTCCCCGGCCACTGCTGCTCTAGGCCGCCTTCTACTGCCCTACCTGTTCCCAAAGCTGTCCGCCTTTGCCACAGTCGCCGACCTCGTCACTCACCGTCGCACTAGTGACGTCTGCTACCGAGCCGCGCTTCCTGCCGAGTTCCTCACCCAAGATCCCTCCTCCCATGTACATCGCTCTGTACTTCACCCACCTCCCTGACTCTCTTAGCGCTGTCAGGGACCTCCTTCTCGCCCTTGACCCCACATACCTCACTGTGGACCTGCTCAAGAAGCACCTCCTTGCAGCTGAGACTAGCGTAGTCGCTGTAGGCGCTTCTCGTGACACTCCTCGCACTCCATTCTTTGAGGGGTGCTCGCCCCCCCCCCTTTCTCCCCTCCGTCGCTTCTGCTGCAGCTGTTGACCACCTTCGTGCTGAGGAGGTGGGAGCTGCGTCTGCCCCTAGTGGGAGGCGCCGCAGCGGCAAGGGCAGGGGAGGCAGGGGCGGTGGGGGTGGCAGAGGTGGAGGCGGTGGTGGGGGCGGTGGAGGCGGTGGAGGGGGCGGCGGTGGCGGAGAGATTGGTGGTGGGTGTGGAGGTGCAGGTGGCGGCGGTGGTGGCGGCAGTGCGAGTGGTGGCGGCAGTGCAAACGGTGGCGGCGGCAGTGGTGGCGGTAGTGGGAGTGGAGGCGGCGGCAGTGGTGGCGGCCGGGGTGGTACCAGCCAGAGGGGAGGCCTTGGTGGTGGTCAGAGGCAACACCGTGGGTCGGCAGAGTCAGACCCTCTCGCCTCAGGAGCTCCGTGAGTGGTTTGCTCAGCGTGGGGCGGCTGGGGGTAGTGGTCCCTGCCCGTATGTCATTCGCACAGGTGACCGCTCTGGTCAGAAATGCGGGAAGCTTGACACCCAGTACCGCTGCTTCTCTCGTCTTACCGACGCCTTCCGTGCAGAGTTTCCCGACGCGGCTGATCTCCCCCGCTGGGCAAAGCTGCTTAGGCAGGGTATGGGTATCTTCGTTTTTGATTATGATGCTATCTTTTTTGCCATGTATGCATTGACTGTTAGTGTTGAGGGTGACTGTTACCTGAGTATGCCGCCAGACCCAGATATAGAGGTTGCTGCTCCAGGTGCTAGTGAGGCTGCTGCTCTAGGTGCTGGTGAGTCTGCCCTCTCAGGTACTGCGTCTGCTGCGGCCTTGCACACCTTCACGCTTGACTTGGGTGCTTCCCGATGTTTCTTCCGCGACTGTACCACAGTCACACCGCTCTCTGCACCTGTTGCTGTCTCTCTCGCTGACCCGTCTGAGGGTCCAGTCCTTGCACGTTCCTGCACTTTTCTGCCGTGTCCAGCGGTTCCTCACGCATGGTACCACAAGCTAGAGGAGACACTGCTGTCTGGGGGGTTCAAGAAGAATGAGTGTGACCACAGCCTGTTCCTGCAGCAAGAGAAGGAGCAGTTTTTCGTGCTCCTGGTATATGTTGACGACATCCTGCTTTTCTCTGAGTCGTCTGCAATGATTGACCGTGTGGAGGATATACTGGAGATGCAATTCAAGTGTTACCTGGGGATGCATGTGGAGAAGGACCTAGACAAGGAAATGTTGATGTTGCACCAAAGGAAATACTGTGAGGGGCTGGCCAAAGTATGGGCTGCAAGATGAAGGAAAGCCAGTAACCCCACTGCCTTCGGGGTTCACTGTGGAGCCCTGTGCTGATGAAGAGGTGGTGGGTGAGAGCGACAGGAAGCTGTTTCATTCCATGGTTGGGGCACTCAACTATGCGGCTAACCACATGCGACCTGACATTGCCTTTGCTACATCCAGGCTTGCCAGTCTGGTTTCACGCCCCAGTCATGAGCAGCTGGAAGCGGCCAAGAGATTGATCGACTATTTGAGTGCTACAGCATCAGTGGGTTTGGAGTAGAGTGCTGTGAGACAGAGGCTGCAGAGAGGAGATGCTCTTGACTTGCTACACCGAAGCTAGCTTCAACTCTGTGAAGGCGGATGGCACCAGAATGTTGGGTGCAAATTCACATTGCACGACATCCTGCCGTCTGTTTGTATGAGTATGCATGTGCGGATGCATTTGGGTGTGAATGGAATGTTCGTATGTTTGTTTGCTTTCGCTATTTTTGTTTGATGCATTTGCAGGTACTCGCGCAATGTACGCTTCGGCACAAGATTGTACGTGCTATGAACAGTACAAGCAGAAAGGACGAGCTTGCAAAGGAACCCAAGATGGAAGCTTTGCGGTTCAACTTACTTGATTGCGCAGATTCAGTTCTATCCAACTCGAAATTGTACTGTTTTGTTTGGTTGACTATAGTGTAGCAGGGCAGGCACTATAGGAGTACAATTTAGGTGAAGGTTGGATGTTGTTTGTCTGTATCTGCATGCTACATGGCCAGGGGAAACCAGCGGAACCAGTTTGTGGCTGGTTGGGCAAAGACAAAACAGGTTCTGTTTTTAGGACCTGAACCTGGTTGTTGTTTTCCCAGGCTGGAAAAACAGAACCAGAGGCTGTTTACCAACCTCCCACCTGCTGTTTTGTCTAGCCAGGTTGGTTCTGTTGCTTGGAATTATTTGGGATCATCCCTGGTTGTTCCCAGGTTCATTCCCAAGATCCTTGTTAGCTAGAACTATTTATTCCTTCTCTGTTTGTACCTGAATATAGTCAAATTGATTCAAGCGAATTCCTCCCTTCCTGGAATTTCGTTTCTACGCGGTGCGACGGTGGAATGCTACCTGAGTCAACGCTAGTACGTGAGCACTCCAACGCTTGGCAAACGCTGTCCGAGCCATAATTTCGTAATGGCAGAACTTTTCGCGAGGCAACTTGGTTCATTTTAAAGCTCTTGGAGCGATATAGTAAATTCTCAGCTTAATCCGATCAACGGTCTGCACAATACGCTGCGTGACGTTCAAGGTACTCTTCCTGTTTGGACTAAGTCCCTCTTGAATCCTCTCTCTACAAACTCGGACCCGAGGATAGGGGCTGGTCTTGTACCAGGCACCCAAGGACCCTTGGAGGTGACCCGGAGGAGAGGTTTTAAGTTTGATAAAGTCTTAATAGCTTGAGTTTATTAGGCCCTTACACCAACACAGAATTGGAGGCTATGTGTGCCTCTTTGGAGGTTGTGCAGTGAGCTGGCCCAGCAAGAAGCAGAATGAGGTGGGGCTGTCTTCATGTAAGACAGAGTACATGGCCCTACATCATGGGGCAAAGGAGGTGGTGTGGCTGAGGCGCTTGCTGGAGGAGATTGGAGTTGGTCAGAAGGAGCCGACTGTGATGTTCTGTGACAATGAGTCGGCGGTGATGCTTGCGAAGAATGCTTGTCTTCATGGCCTGACAAACCACATCAGGCCAAAGTGGCATTGGACGAGGAGGCTCCTGGACAAGGAGGTGCGGCTGGAGATTGTGAAGATCCATCAGCAGGTGGCTGACATTCTCACCAAGCGCCTGGCTGAACCAAGCATTGGAAGGGCATGAAGCTTACTTGAATGAGTGTGCATTGAGGGTGCATGCTTGAGCTATGGCATGTGGGATGGTGGTAGGCAGCTAGAGGGGGAGTTTGTTATGTGATGCCATCATTTGTATTCACGTCTGTCTGCCTCCCATCATATGTTCGTGCGTTGCATGCGTATTGTGAGCGTGTGCAATCATTTGTGTTTGGTGTGTTTTGGATTTTCAGAGTGTGTATGAATGTTATTTGGCTTGAGAAGATGTCTGAAGTGACTCCTCTGCTCCTGAGCTTTCTGATGAACCAAGAATCGTTGCGATCGGAGCAAGAACGACAAAGTTACGATCGTTCGAAGTTTTGTTTGTGATGCGACGACTTTGGGAACCTGTGGTGAGACTCAATATGGGGTACAGACTTTTGGGGGTTGGGAAATTTGTCCCCATCACTGTAGATGCTGCCAAGTGGTTGGGAGAAACCAAGTTGGGTTGGCAAGTGTGGCCAACTTGGGTGAGGTGGATTGTGGAGGTTGGGAAAGTGACAAATGTCAAAGTTGGGGTACATATAGAGAGGGGAATTGTGTGGCATGGGGTTTACTTGGTTGGGGACTCCCTTAGGATCTTCCCTCTCGTCCTCCTCATCCCCTCCTACCTGGTTTCTAGTAACTCCAATTCTCTTGGGTGAACTTGTGAGACTCTTGTGATTGAGTTAAGTTCCTATGGCAGCAAATCCCCCTGTGCGCCGAAATTGATAAGTCGAGAAATACTTCATCTTTTGATACGATTCAAATTGAAAAATGTAGCTATGCTTTAAAGCTACAATAGGTCTAAAATTGGTGAAGTTTTCACTGTGCGTTTTTCGTCGACGGAATTTCTTGTGAGCGCGCCGATTCTGTCAAAAATTTGAGATGATATTTCGGCCTCCGTCCTTAGTCTCTAGTATGGCACTTTTCTCCGGTTGCGAGAACTCGTGCTGACCTAATTATACAAAAGAGGAGAGAACGAACGAAAGGGATAATGTGGCCTTGAGCGGCTCCTCAGTTCATACCATACAAAACTATATGCAATTGCAAGGAACGGGTGATACGGGAGTGAGCAAAGGGTGTGCGGGGTTTCAGGTGCCAATGTGAGAATGTTGAGGAGATCAAGGAAAAATATTTTTGGCTGAAGTGACACGAGGAGTGGCCGATGCAAAACATCATCTTAGATCATCATCTTATATCATCTTTCATCATTCTCATCATCATATCTGTGTAATAAAAGCCTTAGAACTAATAGCGGAACGTGATTCACATCCGTTGTTGTTTCGGAGTCGCGAGCCATGGAAGCCTTGCCAACACTGGTCTAAAATTCTATTATAGCGTTATCGCAACCTCCGCTGCCACTCTCGCGCGATGATGGATACATGGCTGAAAGATTTGAGAAAATGATGGGTATCTGTTATGATAGAACTAATTCTGGTGGGGGCGCGCATCGAGCGAGCTACTAGTATATGGTAAGACATCGAAACTATGTGCGATGTCATGTCTTGATTATAGGTGGACAGGACGGACATTGAAAACATTGACCGAAACGGCATACGTATTATGTGACATTAATGGGACATAAACGGATGAGGCGCCTTTGATACTTACGATTATACTTCGATATATTTGAATATTGCTCTACACCTGATGCTTTGAAGAGATATTGTGTTTTCCCGGAACTTTAAGTGTTTCTTGCTAACCAAATGCAGGTTACAAACTGATTTTTCCTGCTTGGAAATGGTTTTGCCTCTTTCGAATATTACGCGTATGTAGGGAACGGTTGGGTGGGTGCGTGTCTCGAAGCCCTAGGAGATTATCGTTCGCATAAAGTTACATGCCTCTGCATAAACATTTTTTATGTTTAGCAACTTTCTGCACGACTCTACGGATGCAACATTTGAACGCAATTCGAGGTTTGCCTTGGAAGATTGGCGAGGTATACAGTCCCGAGATTGTTGCTTCCGAACAATCATCCGCTCCAGACCTTCCATAACACTTCGGTTCGGGTCCTCCTATTTCAACCCGGAAAATCCGTTATTCAGCATATTCGAACCGCATCGTTTTTATTTTCAGCGGATACGCCCACATTAGCCTGCTCCAGTCATCCACTATGGTTAAGAAGTACCGCTCCCCCTTGTGCCCTTGCACCGGCAGCGGCCCCACCAAGTCCATGTGGACCAGCTCCAACGGCTTTTTGCTCCTGCCAGCCACACTATGGAAGGGGAAACGGGTGAACTTTGAAAGGAGGCAAATTTCACAGTTATCATCGGGTGGTTGTCCGTTCAGCTTTAAGCCCTTAACGGCTCCATCCTTCTCCAGCTGCTTCAGCAAAGGCATTGCCACATGCCCCAATCGTCGGTGTGCAGTTGCCCAATCTGTCTCCCCAGATCTGGCCGACACTTTCACACCAACCCCTCCAACGGCGTTGCACTCCCCCTGGGATGCAGACCCCTCTCCAGCCTGCCCCCCACCGTGCCACGCCAGCGCCGGCAGCTGCCACATAGATCTGTACACGTCCTTGCTCTCGTGCAGATCCCAAAGCACCCGATTGCCCAGCTTCCCCTTATAAGTGCGAGCCCCATCCGTGTTGGTGTTCACCCCAGCCTTGCCAAGCTTACGGAGGGAGATGAGGTTGGCCTTCAGGTCGGGGACGAGGAGAACGTCGTGCAGCACCACCGGCTTGCCATCCGCTCCCTTAAATGCAGCTCGTCCCGCACCAGCCACCTTCAACATGTGTCCAGAGGCAGAGCACACCTCATTAATCGGTGCAGCGCGTACGTCGTCCAGCAGGTCCTTGCGCGGCGTCATTGTCCAAGCGGCGCCTGTGTCCAACACCCAATAGTCCAGGGGATGCAGCTCTGCTCCAGCCTTAGCAGATGCGTCTCCTTGCTCCCCCTT